TAGCGAGGCACCATTGTACTACAAAACCCATAGCCTCACAGTATCTTGAAGGAAAGGTGCAAATCTCAGGAAGGCAATTGCTCTTTTCATTCATTATCAGGGGTGACAAACCTTGGAGAGATCTGCGTGCATATGGCAGGCTCCCCCTTTAGACAGGTCCTCAAAGCAGGAACAATGGGGTGCAGAAGCACATGGCACTGGAGTCTCTTTTCATGCAGTTGCAACTACTTGGAGGAGAATGCCTGAATATGGCAAATGAGATATGAGTAATCCATGACCTAGAATAAAGTACTGTATCAGTGAAGCACAGATGCTGGCAGATGGACAGCAAAACACCCCGGTGTGCCTTGGTTGTACATACCTTAATTATCTTATGGCAACTTAATGTGTATATGTTCTGTGTTGACCCAGTACTGCCTTGCTTGTTTAGGCTCCAGCAACATACAATCCTCATAAGCCTGTTCCTTATCCTATTCCTCCATGTCGACCACATGCAACAATTGCACCAAGTAAGTGCTTTGTTTCTATTTCTCCCCTGTGATGATTTGCTTTCTGACACTATTTGTATTTTGGAAGAAATGTCGAGTGATTATACAGTAGTTTCCTTCATTGTTCCCCCCCCCCTCTTAATTAGGTATGCCACCCAGCATGCAGGTGAATATGTATTCCTGTATAACTGCAGTGGTGTGACTAAGAGCAGCAAATATCTGCTAGTTAACAAGTCCCTGACTGAGTTCCTAGTACTGTGTCAGTGTGTGACTCGGTATGTGAATGGGATTTGATCAGGGTTGTTCTAGTTGGCATCTACTGTATTTCCTGCTCTTAAGTTATGCCACTGCACTTAACACAGATGTAAAGATTCATTTGGATTCTGGCTGTCAAACGTTTTTTGCATGATTGAATATTATTTGACATACAACTTATGTCCTGCACTCAATATCAGTATTCTTGGGAACTTGTTGATGTCTTCCAGCTGTGATACTCTTAACTGAAAGCAGATCTCTGTCTGTAGTCTTACTGATTTTGAATAGAATTAGTGCTACCAGCTCTTGAACCTAATGATTCTACTCATCTTTTTTTTTCCCCTACCCACTCTTCCCAAGACTCATTTTATTTAATTATGAACTAAATAAATAATTCAAAGGGAGGGGGTTGTTCTTTTTTTCCTTTTTGAACCATTAAAAAGGCAGGTGTAGATTTAGAGATTTTTTTTCAGTTTATTAGCTTTTGTGGAAAACCAGCAAAATTTCTGAAATGCTGGAGTATGGTTGTTCAGGAAAACCAGATACTCTGTGAAGAAAAATAGAACTCCCCTTTCTTCCAAGTATTAGAAATTTATCCTTGTTTATATCTAGTTTCTAGTGCAGGAGTTAGCAATTCTGCTCAATATTTAATAGGGTTCTTAAAAATTAGTGGATACTGGAACACTGTTTAAGGTGAAAAAGACTCATGTTTCTATGATACATAGTAAATTCAGTGCAAGGCAGTAATCGGCATTTTTGCATGAAGTTCCAACTTCAAACTCTTACTACAGTACATCTTCTTTATTCTAAAATGCTTAGTTGCCTGAAAGATTGCCTCCTTTCATATGTAACTACCTCAATTTTGACCTCCTCACCAGGAACTATAATAAATGGTATCCTTGCCAAGACAACTGAAGCAGCCCAGGAAAAAGGCCTTTCAGTGGTGGCACCAGAGCTATGAATTACACTCCCCAGATAGGCTTGTCTGATCTCTTCTTTATGATCTATTTGGCATTAGATGAACAATGATCTGTGAGCCACCTTGAGTCCTGCAACCCGAGAGAAAGGTGGCATACAAGAACAATAAATATTTTTTAAGTAAGTCAAGAGACCCTTTAGGTAAAAGCAAAGCAAAAGCAAAGTGTGCTGCTTATATACCACCCCATAGTGCTACAAGCACACTCTGGGCGGTTTACAAGTTAATTATGCAGGGTACACAAAAGTCCTCTGGAACAGCCTTGGCTGTTTCCTTCCATCAGCAAAAAAAAAAAGTCATATTAAATTTGTGCTGTGATTCATTGTATGAGCTAGTTGAATGAAGAGGACCCTGGCATCTGTGTTAAGGTCTGATGGAATGGCTTATTAGCAAGGTGTTTTGCAAAATGGGCACCAGTACTGAAAAGTCCCTGCTCCTAGTAGTTACCTAGAATATCTCCTCCTGGAACAGTGCTTCATCCTAAACTACTCATGCAAGGGGAAAAATACAGAAGGCAGTCTTTAAGAGATTAGGAGACTGATTTGCCAATTTATTCGTGTGGTGTTACATCCTTATTGCACATTGCTACATTTTGATATTGTTGCTTTTTTGTCTTTCCTTTACTAGGTGCTTACAACAATGCAGGTCTTGTTCCTCTGGCTAATGTTGTAGCTCCTGGCTTGCCAGCTCCACCACCATATGCTCCTACTCATGTAGGAACAGGTAAAACAGGTATCTTCAGAAAGCCCACTATGTCTTGGTTACACTGCATCATAACCAAGAGATGGAAGATCCCATGCAGATGGTTGGGATAGAAAGCCACTTCCAGACTTCCCTCTGCTCCCCCATAGGCTGTTGTTACTGAGATGTGAAAAGTGAGCCCATGATTGCTCCGTTCTCTCTTGCTTTCTTGACACTCATCAAGCTGAAGCAGGACCGGGTTAAAAAAAAAAGTGACATGGTTGAACAGGAATTGAAAGGAAGTAGGGCAGAGGACTTTGCCATGGCATTACCAAAGGTGAAAGCTGTGAGTTTGGGCTCTTTTGATAAAGGGCAGCCTTGAAGCAATCGGGGTGCTCTTGAATATCCTATTGGGATTGTCCTCCCTCTTGAATATAGGCATGTCAAGTCTTTCCAGCAAGGGAACCTCACTGAGACTGTGTGAAATGTCTTGGCTCTCATTTCATACAAGTCATAATGATAGTTATTTTAACAAACAATGTAAAACAGGCCTTTGGGTTTATCTTAATTGGCATTCTTCTCCATAATCTCATTGAATTTTTTTTCTTCTCCACCTTTACCCCCAACTGATTACATCCTTTATGTAGACAATGAAGAACTTTCCAATCAGACAAAATCTTCCCAAAGCCAAGGTAAGCTGTCCATTGTAGAGATGAGCTGTAGCAAGCAACATACAATATATAAATTTAAGAAAAATATGCATTGTCTGCTAAGTATTGCTTTATTTTTCCTTTAAGAAATAATTCATTTGTATCTTAATAGCAGTGTACTTAAGATAAACTGTTAAATATACTGGTTGCTTGAATCTAAACCAGCACTAAGTGCTGAACTGAAGAAATAGTAATCAGAGGTTAAGAAATAGAAAAAAATAAGTATAAATAAAAAAATAATTTCTGTTAGCCTTTAGTGCTTGGTAGATAAAAATTGGATTATTGCTATTCTCTAGACTTATTCCATTTGGTGATTCAGTCGTGTGTCATTAAAAAATTGTTTTCATTGTCTGCTTCTGAGTACTGGAGAATAAGTGTAAAGGAGTGCTGTAAATCTCTTGCTTAAAAGTCTAAGTGTTGGTCCTTGTGAATGAATTTAGCTCCCACTAGTACCTGGAAACCAACGGAACACTATGGCCAGTATCCTGTTGCGAATGGGAAGAGCAATTTGTGCTCTCCAGCTTGCCATCGTATGAGTGGAGGTCTCTCCTTTCAAAATCATGAACACCCCTTTGCACTAGAACCCCAAAGAGTCCAATCCTTTGTTCTGTGCATCGATCATTGTACAAGCAGAAGAAACAAAGAATATTCTGGCCTGTGCACTTTGTTATGGAGTTATTGTGACCCATTTCAAGTTTTTCCCAGAGTAGAGGTTACACTGCCTCCAAGTTTCATGAATTAATATTGCTTTCCACTCTATTTTTAAAATTCTAAACCTTCCCAAATGTTCTGAGTTCAACGAGACTAGTTAGTATGTTTGACATTTATATATTCTCAAACCGTCTGACATATATTTGAAGCATATATTTAGAATGGTATCTGTGAAATGTTGTAACTGAAATTCAGCACTAACAATGGTTACTCCTTTACCGCAGCCATTCCTTTATTTCATTCTTTCAAGAATGAAAGTTAAATCATAAATCAGTTTTGAGAACTGTTAGATAACTCACTGGTTTAGGTATTTCGCTGTGGAGTCGGAGACTGGGAGTTCCCCACTGTGCTTTCTTGACAAGGGCTGGACTGGATGATCCATAGGGTCCCTTCCTGTCCTCTTTGCAGTTCTAACAATTTTACAACTAGAATTAATCAAGATACTTATTGTTCCATAATATGATACTCATGTCTAGCCCTGGTTAGCAAATAAAATGCTTAACCATATGTACAAATTCACTCTGTTCCAGGTACTTGCAGTGCAAGAATATACATTTCTAAGGTTACTTCCACATGAATTACCCACAGCAATTAGGGAAGGTGCCAGCATAATATCTGCTCCATCCCAGTTTTCAAGAACTAAGGGTTAACTCTGGAGAAACACCATCAGAAGAGAATGGATACAAGATGACTTTCCAACCCTCTTTCTCTGCCTGGACCTGCAAAAGCCACTTCTCATGATCAGAGAGCCCTACTGAATGGTTTGAGCTGTGGGGAAAGGCTGAATTCTGAGCAGAGAATTCCCTCTTGTGAGGTGCTTTTGGTCTCCACCCTCAGTCTTCCCTCTCCATAGCTTATCCTGTGCAGCAGAGTCACTCAGATTCCAAGACATGTTTTTTGAGGGACTGCTGGGTTGAGAAAGGAGGAGAAAAGTCACTCTCTGCCCACACCCTCTTGCCAGTAGTTTTCTCGAGCCATGCCTGATATTTTCAAGCTAGGGCTATTTCTGTTCCATATCTAACACTAAGGTACTTGTACATTAGTATTTTTAGACTCTTGATTTATATACCTCAATTTAGTCTTAAGATAGTATCGAATTTGTAAGGTAGAGACACTGAAGATGTACGGACTAATAAAGTGCCAATAAAATGGGGCACCCTTATCCATGGGATCAGTATCTTCCACTGTTTCATTTATCCACAGTCTGAAAATATTAAAAATATTGAAAGAAAAAAATCCAAATAAGCTATTTGCACATATATTACCAGAATCAGCCACTAGAGGCAGCCAGAGACAGTGCTATGAATACTTGTTAGTGAAGAAAACTGGCACGCTCAAGGGGGTTTTTTTCTGGTTTTTTTTTTTCTTTTACCATTCTCTCTCTCTCTCTCTCTGCTCAAGGTTTTTTTTTTTTCTGGGTTTTTTTCCTTTTACCATTCTCTCTCTCTCTCTCTCTCATATTAGCTATCCCCAGTAGGGACCCTACTGTAATAATATATTTGTGGTTTTTTTTTTTCTGGGTTTTTTTCCTTTTACCATTCTCTCTCTCTCTCTCTCTCAATTAGCTATACCCAGTAGGGGACCCTACTGTAATAATATATTTGTGGAGAGAGTGCATTTAATAATCAGAATATAGAAAGCTGCTGTCCAAGGTACAAACAGCTGTTTCCCTAAACATATGAATCCTTACAGACTTTTTAAAGACACTGTGAAAATTATCCAATAAATACATGACACTTTGGAAGGGTATTTTTAGAAACAGATCACTGAACCACTCAGAAATTGAAACTCTTCTGATACTCGGATAAAAATAGCACAATATATAAATAATTCCACTTTTTCAGCAAAGTTAATACAAAAGGTCAGGACTTGTCAATGTTAGTACAGGCTTTTTGCCTTACAGGGTTAGGTGTAGGTGCCAAGACAATCTATCCGGTCGTTATTACATTTTTACATAAGAGGGACTCATGCTTGCCGAACATGTATCTTGAACCTTTCAGGACTACGTGGGCCTCAAACAACCATACAAATGCACAAGAGCAGGCTTGAATTGTTCAAATGGCAGTAACCAAACCAGCGGCTGTGTCTCATTTTGCATACCATTTTACTTTTTGTAAATTGTGATAGCATCTTTTATTTTGCTTTTGTGCCTGTTAATTGCTGTGTAAACTGTGTTAGAGTGCATTCGTGTTTGAATACAAGCATTTCTGCTGGTTTCCAAGAATTCTTACTGGTTTTGTTTCTTTCCAGCTTTTGCTGCACAATCGAATCATCTCTTTACACCTCATGGTTCTACCCCTGCTGCTACTCCAGCCCCCACCCTGTCATCTGTTAAAGCAATAAGCCACTCATCAGCACTTCCATCTCCAACCACACCGGGGATAAGCATGTCCACCCCTGCCCTCCCCGTCTTCCTGGGGCAGGTTGTCTCCTCCATCCACCCATCTCAGCCATCGACTCCAACTCCTCCTGTCGTTAAATCTCACTCTTTGCCTGGTGTTCCTGTCACGTCTGCTCATTGTGCCACCCCCACCCCCCTCCCTGCAACTTTCTCTGGGCTGGCTTCTGGGCTTCCTGCTGCAGCCACTCCGCAAGTCCTGTCCACGCCGTGTGCTACCGCTGTGCCTAACGAAGCTTTTGCATCGGCCTCCACACCGTTTGCCACCCTGCCTTTTTCTGCAACATCTGTCGCCACTTCCACTAATAACTCAAATTCACTGTCATCCACTTTTGCCAGCCTGCCTTTGTCCTTGACGCCTACTCCTCAGGGGATAGCCAGTCCGATGCCTCCGTCCGTTGCTAGTTCTCCTGCCACTAGCCTGCCATGCCCCCTTAACTTACCTAACCCACTTCTTTCAGTCTTAAAGGGCTTTTTGTCAGTGAATGATAGCTCAATAATGAATTCAGCTGCTCTGCCTTCTGCTGTGACAGCTGAGCTTGCTTCTCTCTCTGGTCTTGCTGGCCAGAATTCTGAAGCCACTCCTTCATCCAGTAACAAATGTTATACTCCAAGCGCTACCTCCACCCTTCAACATCCTTCCACTCCAGGACTGTCCATCTTCCCAGGACTCCTGTCTCAGCCGGGTGCGAGGAATAGCGCAACCCCTCCTGCATTGCCAACACCGTCCCCTTTGACCTCATTACCATCTTCCATCCTGCCAGTCAGTTGTGTCTCCTCAGTTCTTACACATTGTCCAAGCCCTGCTCATCCTGAACAGCAGGTCTCGTCTGCCTCAGCAGCCACTGCCGTTCCAGTGATGGTGAAAACTGAGCCCACAAGCCCTACGCTTTCAGGTTTCAAAGGCCCATCACATTCTGCCGGGCCTTCTCATAGCACTTCAGCCTTGTCCGCTCTTGGGCATGCATATACCTCAGCTAATTCATTGGCAGGCAGCTTGCCCACTTCCCTGAATCCAGCACTATCCAGCCTCTCCTCCTTGAGTGCTCCTCTAAATGGTTCCTCTTCCATTGCCCCACATGGTTCCTCTGCCCCAATAGCTCCAGTATATAATGCACTTCCTCCTTTCACGTCGCTGACCAGCAGTTTTGCTTTTACTGGCAACCCAGCACTTACGCCCACAGGGTCCCTGTTGCCCATTCCACCTACGACGACGTCAGCCATTTCCGCACCTCCTGTCAGCTCCACAACCACGGTTCTTCCAGCGCTCATTGCTTCAGCAGCTGCTCCTGCGCCACCCTTCTCCTTGAACTTGTGCAGCGCTGTCCCTTCCCTGTTTTCAGTTCCTCAAGTACCTCTAGGATCATGCAGTTCATCCTTCCCTCCTTTCCCTGTCTCTAACACTCCCTCTGTCACTCCTGCTCTCCCTTCTTTCCCTGGGCTCCAGGCACCTTCTACAGTAGCAGCAGTCGCACCACTGCCGGCAGCTGCCACAGCCCCATCTCCAGCTCCGGTGCTGCCAGGGTTTGCCTCGGCCTTTAGCGCAAACTTCAACTCCGCACTTGTTGCACAGGCTGGGTATGTTGTTTGCGGCCAGAGGTCAAAGACAGTCTCTTTGGCAGAGTTGTTTATTATTATTATTATTATTATTATTATTATTATTATTATTATTATTATTATTATTATTATTATTATT